TGGAAAAGATATCTCCTGCTAAGGAAAAGAATCGAGGTTCAGGTAGTAGAAGTCCCAAAAAAGCATCACCTACTGGAAATAAGAAAGGATTAAATCCTTCAGCCCTAAACTTTAATCCATTCTCAAAAGGGAGTGAAGCAGCAAAGCAAGGGGTATCTAATACTCTAACTGGAAGAATGAGTGGTGAACAATTAAATGTGGAGACTACCTCACAATGGATACAAAGAGCTCTAGTTGGCAATGCTGTAGCTACTAATACATCTTATCAGGAGATTCCATCTCAAGACACAAGGGTTGATGACAATTTAGCAAAGAAGCAGAAAAAAGGAGCACATGCAGAATCAGATGCAAGTGATGATTTGTTTATAACAATAGAAAAGGTCAAGTGGACTGGTGGTAGATTATGGGAGTATAAAAAATAGAGGATTCAGAAGAAGGAGACATTCCAGATGGTATGCAAGCTGAAAGAGATTCAGATGTTGATATTGAAGAAGAGGAGCAAAGTGTATATGATGAGGCAAATATTAACAAAGAGGAGGAGCTGATCAACAAAATTAAGGAGGATCCAAAGACTATTGATGAGAACAAAGAAGGAAGGGGTGATGCAGATAATGCTAATAATGAGACAGGAATCCATATTGCTTAAACAAGGGACCCTAATACTACTGTAGTTAATCCTAAAGACATTAATGTGAAAATGGGAGATTGGGGTGGAATTGGGAAGCCTACAGTAATACCTAAAGTGACCAACATAAATACAAGAGAGAGTACCAGATCTGGAAATAAGCAGAAGGTCAAGGACCAAGTGAATGTGGAGATGATCAACATTGTTCCATTGGATAATAGTCAAATTAGGCAGCAACAGCCTGAGGATAAATCTATATTCTCTACTGTGTAGGCTAGAGAACTTGACACAGATGTCATACAAGATAAAGGAGCAGGTGAACACATGGAAAGAGCAGGCAAGGAATTTGATGAAGAGTCCACTGCTCAAAACTTCAGAAACGTAGCAAGATAAGGTGACTTATCTCCTATGCACATGGACAAAGCAACATTTGCAACAAAAGGGAGGAAGAAGACTGTGAAGGATCCAGTAAAGGAATTATCTATTGTTCCTGCAACTGGAGTACAAACAAGGAGGACACTCACAAAATTATATAACCTATAATGGATGGTCTGATATGGAATATAAGGTCTGTGAAAACCATGCAGGATTTTGAGAGGCTCATTACAATGAATAAAAAACATCACTTTGAGTTCATTGGACTCATGGAACCTAAACAACAAGCTAGGAAGCTGGAGAGGTATAGAAGAAGAATTGGATTTGCTCAGGCGATTGCAAATGTCTCCAATAAAATATGGGTGTTCATTGATGAGGTAATTGAAATTGATATTATATATGACATGGTGCAGCAGCTAACATTAAAATTATTTCACATTGAATCTCATATGGAATTTATATTGACACTGGTATATACAAAATGTGACTCTATAGAGAGGATTGAGTTGTGGGATTCATTGTATAATTTGGCAAGAAATATGTCAGTTTCATGGCTTGTTGGGGGGGACTTCAATGTAATATGAGATGAAGAGGAGAAATTTGGGGGTCTGCCAGTTTTATTGAATGAGATTGATGACTTTAGGCATTGTATAAACACCTGCAACCTCTCAGATTTAGGCTTCAAAGGGAGTATATTCACATGGTGGAATAGGAGAGCAGATGAAGAATGTATTTTTAAGAGACTTGATCGTTGCTTGGCTAATATAGAATTTCAGCAAACTTTTCCTAGATTGGAGGTTACTCATCTTCCAAAAATAGGTTCAGACCACTGCCCATTGCTTTTAAAATGTGATGTTGAAACAGCACCAGTGAGGAAAGCCTTCAGATTTCTAAACTTTTGGATCAAGCATGTCTCCTATAAAGAAGTGGTGAAAGAAAATTGGCATGCTGATTTTTATGCCAATTCGTTTATACTTTTCAATTATAAATTGAAGAAACTGAAGAAAGCATTGTCGATATGGAGCAAAGCAACATATGCGGATATATTCCAAAAGATAGCAAGCTTAGAGGAGGTTGTTTTGGTTCATGAAGTTCAATTTGAGGTTGTCCCTTCTCAAGACAATAGAGAGAGGTTACAAAAGGTGCATGCAGACATGATTAGATATCTTTCTATAGAAGAGGAGTTTTGGAAGCAAAAATCTGGAATGCAATGGTTCAAGAATGGAGAGAGGAACACAAAGTTCTTTCATACACATGTCAATGGTCGAAGAAAAAGGCTTCAGCTTAAAAGAATTCAAGACAGTACTGGTATATGGCTGGAACAAGATGAGGAAATTGCAGAGGAGGCAGTGAAATTTTTCAAGGATCAATTTACTGAAAATAATGTTCCTTTAGATTTTCGTATACTTGATCATATTCCTACACTGATATATGGGGAGCAAAATGCAGAACTGTTGAAACAGCCAAATAAAGAGGAGGTCAAGCAAGCAGTATTTGGTTTAAATGGTGAGAGTGTAGGAGGTCCTGGTGGATTTACAACCAGTTTCTATCATGCTTGCTGGGATATCATTGGACATGACATCTTTGATATGGTCAGAGCTTTCTTCAATAGACAAGAATTGCCCAAATGTGTTACTCACACTAATCTTGTCCTACTGCCTAAGAAGAAGGAGGTGACAACTTTTTCAGATTTTAGGCCATAAGCCTTAGCAACTTCACCAACAAAATCATCTCAAGAGTGATTCATGAGAGGTTAGTAGGTTTTCTGCCAAATATCATATCGGAGGAACATGCTGGATTTGTTAAGGTGAGGAGCATAGTTGAAAATGTCTTATTAACTCAAGAAATTATAACTAGCATAAGATTGAGAACAAAGGCAGGCCCTAATGTAGTTATTAAACTAGACATGACCAAGACATATGACAGGCTTTCATGGTTGCTTTTGACTAAGGTGCTAAGGAAGATGGGGTTTGGAGAGAGATTCATAGGGTTGGTGTTTGGGATTGTGTCAAACAACTGGTATTTAGTGCTAATAAATAGACAACCTTATGGTTTCCTCAAATCATCTTGAGGGGTCAAGCAAGGAAATCCTTTATCTCCTACACTTTTCATCTTGGCTGCTGAAGCTCTATCTATAGGTTTGAATGCTCTACATTTGAATCTTTATTTTTGTGGTTATGGAATGCTTAAGTGGAGTCCTAAAATCAACCAATTGGCATACACGGATGATACTATCATTTTCTCTTTATCAGATGTTACCTCTCTTAGATTAGTGATGAATGTTTTGACTGCATATGAGGCAGCTTCTAGTTAGTTGGTGAACAAGAGCAAATATGCCCTTTATATGCATCATTTGGTTGATGTGGATGTTGTCACAAAGGTTGAAAGAATCATTGGAATTGGAAGAAAAGAGTTTCCTTTCACTTATCTTGGGTGTCCTATATTCTATTCTAGGAGGAAGATGGATTATTATCAAGATTTGATCACTAAGGTTATGGATAAATTTCAAACATGGAAAGGGAAATTATTATCAATTGGTGGCAGGGCAATCTTGATTTCTCATGTTCTCCAAAGTATGCCAATTCACTTGCTTTCTGCAATGAATCCTCCACATTATGTCATTAACAAGCTTTACAAAATATTTGCACAATTTTTTTGGAGTAGTACTATATGAGGCAATAGTAGGCATTGGGATTCATGGAATACTTTGTGCATGCCTTGTGATGAAGGGGGTATTGGGTTTAGATCACTGCATGATGTATCAAGGGCTTTATTTTGTAAGTTGTGGTGGAATTTTAGAACAAAGCCAAGTTTATGGAGTTCCTTTATGTGCCAAAAGTATTGCAAAAAGCTAAATGCTATAATTGTGCCTTGGAGGAGGGGATCTCATACTTGGAGGAAAATGTTGGAGTGTAGGGATGCTATTGAGCATCAAATTACATGGCAACTGAAGATGGGCTCTTCTCTTTTTTGGTTTGATAACTGGACAGGACTAGGGGCTTTATATTTCTTAGTTCCTCCAATTTTTTTGATTGATGAAACAATTCACAATGTGTATGAAGTGGTGGAGGAAGGTGCATCGAATGTTGAGAAAATTATGGAGATTCTGTCTGAGGAGTTTGTTGTGCACATTCTGGAGAAAATTAAGCCTCCAGTTATGGAGAACACTTTAGATGTACCATACTGGATGCTTGAGACTCGTGGTAATTTTCAGTGGCGGAGGCAGGATCTTGACGATGGGGGTTCAAAAAAAATTGTATCTAGTGGAGATTGAACTCATGACCTTATGTATATTTTAAACTCCCTTGACCACTAAACTATATTTTTAGATTGTGTTAAGGGGGTTCAAAACTTAATATATAGAGACTGATTTTGCCTTATATATACAGTATATTTTTTCGGCGAAGGGGGTTCGGGTGAACTCCCTTGCCCCCCCTAAATCCGCCCCTGGTAATTTTAGTGTAAAGTCTGCATGGGAGTATTTAAGGAGGAGAAATAATCCAAGACTTGCATACAAAATGATATGGGTAAAGGGATTACCTTTCAAGATCTCATTCTTCATGTGGAAAGTGTGAAAAAATAAACTTCCTCTTGATGATTTCATGACGCGATTGGGATATTTTATGCCTTCAAGATGTTGGTGTTGTATTGAGCCAAAAGAAGAATCTTTGATACATTTGTTCTTCACATCACAGGCTGCCAAGACAGTATGGAAATATTTCCTATCTAGAGCTGGGATACGATTGGAGGGATTGACATTGCATCAGGCGATCACTAGCTGTTGTACAGTTCAGGTGCTGCCCAGAATTAAGCCAATTATGCAAGCCCTTCCTTCTTGCATTATATGGGAACTGTCGAAAAGGAGAAACAACTTTAAACATGGGGAAGTAGTCTCAATCAGTTGGGTTATTTACCAGGTATCCTCTTCTCTTCAAGCTCTTGTAAGAGTAAGGAAGCCAGGCTTACTAATGTTCCTCATAAGTGGCAAGATCGGTTAACAATGCTGGAAAACTATACTCCTAGGCTGAAGTATGACAAGGTGATTGGGGAGTTGCCTATAGTGGGTTGGGTGAAGGTAAATACTGATGGTGCCTCGAGGGGGAATCCAGGGAGGAGCTCAATTGGTTTGTGTATAAGAAATAATGATAGAGATTTAGTATATGCTCTTGGAAGGGAGATCAATGCTACAACAAATACAGAAGCTGAAACAGTTGCAATTCTGGAGGCTTTAAGGATTTGTAGTGCTCACAATTACATGCAAGTATGGCTTCAAACAGACTCTTTGCTCTTGAAGAATATAGTTGAAGGATTGTGGAAGCCTCCTTGGTGTATTGTGGAACAAGTGGAGGAGATTTGGCAGCTCTTGGGCAGGGATAATTTTAAAGTCTCACATATTTTCAGGGAAGGGAATAAACTGGCGGATCATCTTGCAAACTATGCTTTGGATGTATGAGAGATTGAATGTCATGGCTATTGGCATTTAGATTCAATTGGGAGAAGAATAGTTAATGAAGACAAACTCCAGTGTCCTTATTTGAGGGTGAAAGTAGCAAGGAAGTAAGGTGTAAGGTGGCAAGGTGGGAGGGAGTAAAGAAGCATCATGTACAAATACTGTGGGAGGAGTACATGGTGAGACTAGTTTTAGCTAACAAATTTTTCTTTTTTGCTGGTCAATTTTCAGCACCTAAAATTTGCCTTTCGATGGAATTTCAAATGGTGGTGTTAGTGCTTTGCACTCAAACCATTGAAAGGACAACAAAGGCAAGCATAGATGTTGATGCAAAGCAGGGCAATCTCCTGCACAGTTTAAGAAGCAGCAAAAGTTTTTTGAAAAAAATAGAAGCAAAGGTGGATATAATGCCTAGAATGTTTAAGCGAAATGGGCAAGGTGGGCTAGGTGTTAGAGGAGGAAGTAATGTGATCTCAATGGATACAGGGAGTCAGGCAATAGTGAGTGTAATACAACAAGGCAGGAGTAGTAGGGAGATAAAATTTAGAAGCAACAATCAATATGTCACTCAGGTAGGAAAATTCTTTGAAAGTCAAGGTAAGGAGTTGGAATGGTAAATCTGGTACAAAGGAGCTACTGATTTAGTTGGAGAGGAAAAGAAATGATGAGTAAGGAGGCAGAGAAAAGGGATGGGAACTTGATGGGAAATGTGACATTCAAGCAGGACCAACACTCTCAAATCCTTTTAGAGGAGATGGTGTTGATCAATTTTTTCACTAACATCGTGTTTTTTTGCAGGAGACGTTGATGTACTCATGCCTTGTCATTTAATACGACTTCTATGGGCGGTATTAGTACTTGGTACTCATTCCCTTGAAGAAGAAACGGTGGCAAGCACAAGCATGAGAAAGCAATTTTGGATAGCTCCTTTCATAAGCCTGGGTAAACTCTGGTTTTGGCGCGTAATTCTGGGCAAATTGGCTCATCATGGGCTCAAACCCATAGTGCATCAACATATTATATTTCATGAGCTATCACCAGATGCAAGAAGTTCAATAGTAGGTAAAGGGACAGTACACGAAAATGGAGCCAAGAATGACATAGCTGGAATCCACATTAGCAGCATGTCTCACTTGGAAAATTCATACGGAGAATCTGGGCTAAGATGGGGTTAACACTCTCACATGGCAAGCTTCTAGGATACTTCAGGATGATTCTTGGTCAAGGATTGCACAGAAAAATCACAGGATACCACGTGCATCTGATGGCAAAAGTTATGCAATTTTTTGACAAATGTACACTCTATATCTGATGGTTTTGTTTTTGATGGGGTACAATGCTTCATGACTCATACAAGGAAATATACATTTTTGGCTATTCTGGGCAGTGGCTAACCAAGAGAAAAATCAATTTCAACGTCAACACAAACAAAGAGGATATGCGTGCAAAAACTAGGCAGCGGATATTCATTCAGCAGGTTATTTGTGTAAGGCATGGAAAATACAGCTGATGATGCAGCTTTATGGGCTTGAGGGACTAATTCTTAGATGCATAAATTATACTAGATCACATGTTATATCAAGGTTGAGCATAAAACTCAACATTGATAATAGTGTGAGCACGTGATTTTTGCCCTACATGAAATACTCCTATAAAATCAAAGAAAATAGAGTTTTTCTTAATTATTTGCCATTTTTAGGAATTTTTGTAGATTTTTATTAATTGTTTGCATTTTTCCTGCATGTTTAATTTTTATTTTAATCATGAAAAAATACCAAAATATCATGCATTGCATTTAGGATTTGTTTTTACATTTTTAAAATTAACCAGTAATTATTTGTTTTATAAAAATTAAAAATCACAAAAATTGCTTCATTTTTACACTTTTTTCCTTTTATTGATTTTTTCTCTTTTAATTTAGGATTAAGTAGCTTTTATAATTTTTATAATTATCTTAATTTCACATGTTTAGATAATCTAGGATTTTAATTTTAAGATTTTTAAAATCAAAGAAAAGAAAAATAAAAAAAAGATTTTTGATTTAGTCTTCCTATCCCAAAGTTAATTAGCCCAAATTCGTGACTCAAATCCCTTCAACTCCAAAAACATTGAGGCCATACCCTTCCCCCATTTGACCTAACCTAATTCTTACCCCTATATAATAATGTTAAGTCCTAAAATAAAGACCTAGACAGATTCCTAACCCCATTCCCAACGGCGCTCCCCTCAACAGACAAAAATCAGACCCTCCGCCCCTTTTACTTTCTCTCTGCCTCATAGGAAAAGAAGAAGAAACCAAATCAGTTGGATTGAAATCCAACGTTAACAGCAAAATGCTTCATAGATTGAAATCCAAAATCAATTCACGTTGAAATCCCTTAACACTTCCGCCTAATTGAAATCTCCCTAAATCTCCTTTCAAGTACTGCTGAAGCATCAATCTCCCTAATTGAACCGGTGACTTGGGACATCATAAATTATCCCAAGTGGCGACTCTGAATTTAATAAATAAATAATCTCGTTTCAATTGTCACTTTAAGTTGGAAAAAACTCCTTTATATACCCCTTCATGGGGGTGTAGGAAAAAGGAGGTGTGACAAATAGGACTTGTGTAGTTTTCATTTTTTATTTTGTTCATTGCTTAGGATTTCCTCATGACATTGTTTCTTTTAATTTTCTATATATATATATAAAAACTAGCTAGGCACTGCCTAGTGGATTTGCTAAAAGAAATATTATAGGCCACCAGAAAAAAAAAGAAAAAAGAAAAGAAAAAGATAATCCTCAAAGTGGTGGCAGCTATTAAAAGAAAAAGTGTGCTTAAAGAAAAAAAAAANTTACCTGTCCCGCAGCCAACATTACAATCAAATAAAGTCCTATTTGATTCTTGACCGAATGAGCTCGATTAATCGAGTATTACACTACGAGCAAGCCTATGGTGTGTTGTTTGTGGCATAAGAATTTGTTCTGAGGGTGAGTGAAATGTTGTATTCGAATTCCTCAGTGTGTGGTTTGTAAACGATATAAGTCTCTTTTGTAATGAGTAGGTGTTGATATCAACTTTTTCCTTATATATTTCAATATGCAAAATAACTTCACAATATCATATATAAGCATGTCCAAGGGTTTTATTATTTTTTCCATAATTTTAAGGTTTTAAATTGATTTATTTTATCCCTTTTTATCCATAAAATCCCCAATAATTATTTCCAAAATTATTGTTTTGATAATTCATCTATTTAATTTCTATATTTATGCCAAAATATGGCTAAGATAATTTTTATATATTTTTTATAATTACATTTAGTATTTTTAAAGCTAAATTGCACATAATTGTAATATTAGCCCTTTTAAGATTTAATTATGTTTTATATGCATAAAATTGGATCATGTATTTTTAAATTGCTAATTATGTATTATAAATCATTTCAGCATCTTAAATTATTTTTCAAAAAATATTTACTATTTTTTATAAATTAAATAGAGAAAAACTGGCTATTTAACTTATAGCCAAATTGGCTTTCAATTCTAGCCTAAATCCAACGGACCCCCAACCCAATTAAAAACCCACCGGACCCAAGCCCAAACCAAAATCATACCCGACCCAATATCCCCATCCAATCCTGACAGTTGATCATTTTGATCAACGGTCCACAACCCACCTTCCTAAATTAAACCTAAACGACCCCCACCTAAACCCTCTCATTCACTCATTCACCCTCTGCCGTTACATCTCTCAATTCTCTCATCTCTCTCTGAAACGCTCCACCTGCTGGGCCATTTCCTCTCTTCTCCGGCTATCTCCCTGCCGGAATCCATGGTGGTCTCGCCACCTACCAGCGTTATGGTTCCCTTTTGAATGTGTGTCATCGTTTTGAGGCCTTCAAGTGAACCAGAGGCGGTTTACTTGCCTCTCATGGTTTCTCATGCCATTTTCCGACCATCCATGGCCGTTCGAGTAAGATCCATGACTTTTCCGGCTAAAACCGGTAATATTTTAAGGATTTCTCACCTTCTCTGGGTTCTCCGAAACCCTAACTCTAAAGATTTTTCGATTTTCTTTTAGATCTGTCTTAGATCTGTATATATTATGAGCTTTGTTGTTTTCCTCAAAGGTTTTTCCTGATTTTTTCCAAAGTGCCTCTTCGTCTTCAAGATTAGGGTTTCTTAACCCCCTTTTAAATAACTTCTCCTCTGATTTTCAGTATTATCATATGATTTCACTATGTTTAAATGGTTTACTTATGTTTTTCTTCTACCTGATTCATCATGTTGAAAACCCTAATTATTTTGGTTTATCCGGGGTTCTGGAACTGTCTTTGCTTACCTGATTTGTATGTATACCTGTTTTGATTGATTTCTTTATGATTAAAGCTTTTTCTTTGTTTATCTTGACTGGTTCTAAGTTCTTACTGCTTTTTAACTTAAAATCTCTAATTTCTTTCTTCACTTGAGTCTTAAAGGTTTTCTTTACTTGTTTCTGTGGGTTGGCCTGATCTTTTTTACCTGTTTCTGTGTGTTAGATTGGTTTCTTCACTCTGGCTCTATGTGTTAGCCATGACTATCTGACTTTATTAAGTTTCTGTTGATCACCATGCTTCGAATGGGTTCCTTTTGCTACTGAGTCCTTAGCCTACTCGTATCACTTCTGTATGATTGTATTCAGCTAGTTTGTTCATCTCTTGCTTCTTTTTGTCGATATGGCTGACCTTGCATGTCTGATACGCCTGTTCATTCTTCTCTATTTATATGTCGAAGTACAAAATCATGACTCCCTCTTAATTGATCCTGATTTCCTTAAATTACGTTTGATTGCAAAGTTTTCTTATAAACCCTTAAAATTTTACTTGTTAGTTTAAGTTGATAGATTTCATTTCCATATTTGTTGTGGTGCTTCATTCTTATTGAATCCTTTCCTCAAATTAGTATATTCTGTACTTAGACTCAATCATATGCTCTATACTTTTACTACCACTTATAGGGTAAAAACCAATCTTTCTCAA